CTCTGCATGCCCCACCCCCCAACCTGCTCTGCTGTCCATGGAAAAATTGTCTTCCATGAAGCCGGTCCCTGGTGCCAAAAAGGTTGGGGACCATTGCTTTAAAGCATGAACATGTCATTTCCCCACAATCATAGGTAGAGCCCTAAGAACTCTGATAATTGGTATTGTATTAACTGGGCTTTGCATTTATATATTATTCCATTTTCAGCAATATTTAGCAGTATGTTGCAGTGGTTTGGTGCTAGAGCTTTGGGGTAGAATAGGCCTGGATGTCAATTTTAGTTCCAACCTTTATTAAATTGCATGACCTAGGGCATGTTATTTCACTTCTCTGTGCCTGTTTCATCATTTTTAAAAAGCTAGAGGCTGGGGGATAATAAGTACCTAACTCATAGAGTTAGTGTGAGGATTATATGATATAAACTCAATATCTGACATGTGATCTATAAATGCTAGTTAATATTAGCATTATTGTTTAAGTCAAGAAGATGAGTTTGGCTTGTTCTAGGACCTAGACTCCATGTGACTGGTGGAAAAGGCAACAGGAAACATTCAATTATATAAGTAGCAAGGGAAGGAGACCCTAACAGGGCCCCCATTGGCTCTTGATGGACATAAACAGCAACCACATCATTCCTGTATAACTTGGGGCCTGCAACAAAAGAGAAGAGACCTTGTTCTTTGAGATCTATTTGTCTTGCAGCTTTGAAAAGGTCAAAGGGTACCTTATCCTTGGCCTTAAGGAACTCAGAATTGAAGGCTAACCACCATGACATATCAAATAAACTAAAAGCACAATATACTGTTTATAAAAGAAGATTACCCAAACAAGTCACTCAGCAGGAGAGGCACTTGGAGTTGTTTTCCCAGCTGTTTCTAGCAGTGAGATCCAATTCCTTGACGTATTATTATGGTAAAATGGCATTATACCCAATCCTTTCTGAATACCACACAATAGGCCTACTGTACCTCCATAATTAACTGGATAAATATTTATTGAGTACCTACTACATACAGGGTACTTTTGCTCTATACCAGCCATCAGCAAACTATGGCTAGCAGGTCAAATTTACCCCGTCTCATGGTTTTGTATGGCAAGTAAAGTAAAAATGATTTTTACATTTTTAAATGGTTGGAAGAATTGCCCTCAACCACTATTATGGAACACTTACTGGCTTTGGAAATTAACTTTTGCTGCAGACTTGATAATGTTTCTTAATTAGTTCAACCGAAAATTACAAGGCAAAATAATGCTTATATGTGAAACTTACACTGTAGTAAAGTCATTTCAACAATTAACATTGTCTGAATCACAATATAAAGATGCTTTATATACTTCCCATATTGTCCCAAGCCAAAATAACAAAACCACAATGAGATACCACTTTGCAACCACTAGAATGCCTGTAATAAAAAAGATAGACATAAATAAGTATTAGTAAAGAAGTAGAGAAATTTGAACCCTCAAACAATTGCTGGTGGGAAGGTAATATGGTACAGCCACTTTGGTAGAGTCTGGAAGTTCCTCAAAAAGTTAAACATAGAGTTATCATATAACCCAGCAGTTCCAGATATATACCCAAGAGAAATTAAATTATATGCCTGCACAGAAACTTGTACACAAATGTTTATAGCAGTGTTATTCATAATAACCAAAAGATGACAGCACAAATGCCCATAAAATAATGAGAGGGTAAACAAATATATTATATCCATAAACTAGAATAGTATTCAGTCATAAAAAGGAATGAAATACTGATACATGATGCAACATGGATGAACCTTGAAAACATTATGCTAAGTGAAAAAAGCCAGATATAAAAGACCACATACCATATTATTCTATTTATATTAAATGTCCAGAAAATGAAAACCTATAGAGACATAAAATAGATTCATGGTTACCTAGGGCTGAGGGTGGAAATGGGGAGGACTAAAAATAGGCATGAGGTTTCTTTCTGGGTTTATAGAAATTATTTAATATAAAAATGTAGTGGTGGTGACACAAGTCTGTAAATATTAATAGTCATTAAACTGTACACTTAAAAAATAGCAAAGCTATTACACAAAGTCAGAAATCAGTTCAGTAGTTGTCAAGAGCTGGGATTGGGGGGAGAGAAGTGACCACAAAGAAGCATGAGAGAACTTTTGGGAGTGATAAAAATATTCTATATCTTGATTGTGGTGGTGGTTCCATAATAGTATGTACTTACCTAAGTGCATTGAACTTTCCACCTAAAAAGGGTCGGATTTACTGTGTGCAAATGACACCACGATAAAGCTGACTTTAAAAAATAGTTCAAACAAGAAGCAATATCTCCATTCCCACATTCCGAGTTTAAACTACAGTCCCAGCAGTGGTTTTTGGACTTTGAGGCAAGTGCAAAGGATATTTTCATATTTCAAAATGCATTTAACTGTGCAATTGAGCAGCTTTCATCAAACCTTCAATTGGAATTGATTAATCTGCAATGTAATGACATGGTAAAAGTCAATATTAAGAGAAAAATCTAATAGAATTCTATTCCAAGCAATGGATATGCTTATTAAAATCATATGCTTATGTACCCTTGATAGTATATAATGAGAATGGCACTTCATCTCTGTAGACTTCCATCCAAAAACATAACCCCAGTCTAATCATGTAAAACACATCAGACAAACCCAAATTGAGGGATTTTTTACAAAATACCTGACCAGTACTCCTCAAAACTACCAAGGTCATCAAAACAAGAAAAGTCTGAAAAATTGTCACATACCAAAATAGGTTAAAGAGACACAATGACTAAATATAATGTGGTATCCTAGATGGCACACCATCCAGAGATAAACTAGTAAACTTGGAATAAAGTGTAGGGTATAGTTAATAGTATTATACCAGTGTGGGTTTATTAGTTGTGACAAATATAGCATAGTATATAAGACATTAATGATAGGAGATTCAGCAAATGGTGCTGGGACAATTGGATATCCACATGGGAAAAGATGAATTTAGACTCTCACTTCACACCATACAGAAAAATTAACTCAAAATGAATCATAAACCGAAATGTAAGAGGTAAAACAACAAAACTTTTAGAAAACAACATAGGAAAAATTTATTGAGACCTTAGATTAAGCAAAGTCTTCTTAGGTACAATACTAAAAGCATGGTCCAGAAAAGAAAAAAAAAAATGAAAACTTGGACCTAATCGAAATTCAAAACTTTTTAGGTCAAAAGACACCATTAAAAAAAGGAAAAGACAAGCAGCAGACTGGAAGAAAATATTTATATATCATATACCTGACAGGGATTGCATCTAGAATATCTAAACAATCCTTATAGTTTAACAATAATAAGACAAATAAGTCAATCTAAAAATGGATATAACAGACACTTCATCGAAGAAGATATACAAATGCCTAATAAGTTCACGAAAAGATGCTCACCATAATCAGTCATTAAAGAAATACAAATTAAAATCACAATGAGATATCATTTCACATCCACTTAGAATGGCTTATAATAAAAAACACAGTAAATAAAAAATGTTGGCAAGGATGTGGAGAAACAGGAACCCTCACACATTGCTAGTGGAAATGGTGCTGCAACTTTGTAAAATAGATATGTAGTGTCTTAAAAAGTTAAACATATATTTTCCCTATGACTCAGTAATTGCCCCTTAGGTATCTACCAAAGAGAAATAAAAGCATATGTCCACACAAAGACTTACATACAAATGTTCTTAGCATCACTAGTCACAATAGCCAAAAGTTGGAAACAACCTAAATGTCTATCAACTGGGGAGCAGATAGGAAAAAATGTGTTATATCCATAAAATAGAATACTATTCAGCAATACATGCTACAATATGGATGAACCTCAAAAATATTATGCTAAGTGAAAGAAGCTACACACAAAAGACCATATATTGTATGATTTCATTTATATAAAATGTCCAGAATAGATAAATTTATAGAGACAAAAGAATATATTAGTGGTTGTCTGGGGCTGGGAGAGGAAAGGGGATTGACTGTAAATGGACATGAGGGATCTTGGGGGGGGGGAGGAATGAAAATCTTCTAAAACTGGTTTATGGTGATGGCTGCCCTACTGAGTAAAGTTACTAAAAATCATTTAATTATGCACTGGAAATAGACAAATTTTAGAATATGTAAAATCTACCTCAATAAAGCTGTTCAAATGCAAAGAAAATGGTAGGGGAAATTGGGTCAGTAGTATGCGAGAACTCTGCACTAATTTTGCAACTTTTCCCAAAATCTAAAACTACTCTGAAATTTTAAAAACTTTATGTAAATAAAAATTTAAAAGTATATGTTCCTGGATTGATATCAATATTTGGCATTACCTATCTGTGTAAAGAGATATTTTTAAAGACTAAATGGATAAAATCTTATTACAAGTCAGCATTAACAAAGGTTCACTTGGAATCAATTTTGATGATAGGGGAACCCTAACTTTGAGCCCCAATTAAGCAAAATGTTATCACCCCAAAATAATTCCATTCTTCTCATTAGTAGTCCTGTATTACAAAAAGGTACTTAATTATTATATTTTTAATTTCATCACTAAACATTTGTTGAAATTTGTTTTCTCTCTTGTCATATAAGTACCTACAAAATATCCTCAATATTGCCTTTTGGCCCACAAAGCCTAAAATATTTATTATCTGGCTCTATACAGAAAGTTTGCCAAGCCTTATTTCCACACCACAACAGGATAAACATAAACACATTCAGTCTCTTTCTTGAATATATTCTTATCATTACCTAGTTTTGGCATAATGCCCTTCTGGATATACCCTATAAAGGACAAGCCTTGCATCGCTTCTGCTATGACACCATTTGGGATTTCCATAAAAAGAAGCACTATTAGATTAATAGCTCTAGCAAAGCCTCGATGTCATCGTTAATATCGTGATATTAAAGTGCCAACAACACATCCCAGTATCCCTAAGATGACCCTCATCAAGTTGTGATGTCACCAGGTTAGGACTCACCAAGGTCTCTTAGATATCAAGTGGCTCCCACAGCATCACACCCTGCCTTTGGCATCACCCTGGCACATCACCTTAGTATGGTGTCATATGCTATCACTGCTGTGACAGAACCGTACCCTGATACCACTCCGTCGAGATGTCAGAGTAATTAACCCCTACTTCTTTCCACTCCCTGGGCAGTGGCAGAGAGGGGGAGGGTAGCCACAGTCACCGGTTCTTGCTCAGGAGGTAGTACTCAGCTCCAACTGTTGTCCCTTCCGCCTGCCACTGCAAGTCAGGCACCTCAGGAGACAGGACCTTTTAGGCTCCCATAATTCTCTTGTCCTGCCCCCGCACCCGTTTCGTGTGTCCGACTCAATGGCCCAACAGCGACCACCCACCCCGGCTCTCACACACAGTTCCACTCGAAGCCGCTCCCCGTACCTGACTCCATTCTCCAGCTGTCATCATGGGCCAATTCCACCGGCAACTTGACTACGGACGGGCGCAAGGAACACTGGGACTTGTAGTTCTGCGCTGCTAGGGGCCGAGTCGGTGAGGGCGGCAAAGGCGCCTCCCCGCCCGGAACTTCCCTCAAACTGCAACTCCCAGAAGCGCCGCGCGATGGGAAAAGAAAAGAGAACGAGGAGGGTCGGTGATTGGTGGAGTTCTGCCTGCTCTTTTGACTGGCAGCCGGATCCGGCGACGTGAGGCGGGCGTTGCTTGCGCTTCGCGGAGATCCTGGGAAAGCGAAATGGAGGGGTGTGTGTCTAACCTATTGGTGTGCAATCTGGCCTACAGCGGGAAGCTAGAGGAGTTGAAGGAGAGGATCCTGGCCGATAAATCCCTGGCTACTAGAACTGACCAGGTAAAGCAGCGCTAGGGCCTCTCCGCAGCCGGTTCCATCGGCGAAGCCCTACGTGGCTTCCCGGGCCCGGTCCAAGTGGAGGTCTTGGATCCCCGCCCCTACCGCCCCAACAGTCCCCCGGGGTCACTTCGGGACTCGCAGTCCAGTTGCAGGAATTAGCCTCGCAGACCTCAAGTGTGTGTGTGTGTGTCTGTGTGTGTGTATTTTTTTTTGGCCCGGCCCTTAGCTCACTGAGTTTTGGATATTTCTAGAACGTCTACCGCATTTCTCAGGAATGCCCGATCCGTGAGGAGGAAAACTTTTTATATAGGTTTCTTTACCTTTACTAGAAACTGTAGTCTATGAAACACGTGTAACTGAACCTTTCTTCCGGGCCGGGCAATTTGCTAAGAGGTGGGGATACGATCGAGTGGAAGAAGCGGACAGTAAAGTAATCACAAAAACCTATGTCCGATTACAAATTGTGTGGTTAATACTCGGGAGAGAAGTTCACGTGGTGTTTTCAGAACACATAATAGGAGGACCTGATGCCTGATGTTGTGGTAATTGGAAAAGGCTTGGCAAATGAGGGAAGGTTAGACCTTAAAGGATGAGTAGGATTTCCATGGGGAATGAAAGACATTGTGAGCAGAGGCGAGAAAAAGTGAATAGATGTTGGGAAGTGTTTCTGCCCTCCTGCTCAAAGGACGATCATGCTCTCACGCTGAGTTTCTAGAAGAATTCACGGTACCCTTAATAAACCCACAAATATTTATAGATTGCTTTCTGTTTGACAGACACTCTGCTAAGCACTAGAGAGACAGTATCTTATACTTAGAAATCTCTATTTTGTGTCTTTTGGAAGAAAATTTGAAGTCAGGAGACAGTTTTTTCTGGAACTTTATTACTCAACCTGAAAATGGTTTTACTTTTACCTACCATACCTTCATTATGGTCTGGTAATATTTAATTTAAATGTAATAATTAATATTAAGTTAAGATTTAATAATACTCCATGGAAAATTTAACCATTCTTTCACCCAGGCAGTGGCTTATAAAGGGAAGGATCTATTCAGGATCAAGAGATTTAAGAAACATAACCAGATGCCATTTGTGGGCCTTGTTTGGTTACTGATTTAAACAAACCAACTGCAAAAAGACATTTGGGGAACAATTGGGGGAATCTGAATACAGACTGGGTATCAGATGTTATAAAGGAGTTAGTGTTAATTTTAATAGGTGTGACAGTGGTCTCATAGTTATATAAGAAAATACACTTAATTTTTAGAAAATCAAATATTCAGGTGTGAAAGGTCATGATATTTAGGATTTGTTTTAAGAAATTTCAGCAAGGAAAACAAAACTAGGTGAAGCAAATATGGAAAAATATTTATTGTTAAATGTAAGCAATAGGCATGTGGGTTTCTATTATAGTCCCTCTATTTTTATGTGTTTGAAATTCTTTGTAATAGATTTTAAAATACCATTTCCTATTACATAGTGCTGACTGAGATATATAGCAGTCACTGCAAAGAGGGATTCCCTTTGAGAAATATGACTACTAGCTTACTACTTTTTTTTTTTTTTTTTTTTTTTTTTGAGACAGAGTCTCACTTTCTTGCCCAGGCTAGAGTGAGTGCCGTGGCATCAGCCTGGCTCACAGCAACCTCAATCTCCGGGACTCAGCGATCCTACTGCCTCAGCCTCCCGAGTAGCTGGGACTACAGGGATTACAGGCGTGAGCCACCACGCCCGGCCACTACTTTTTATAAATAGAAATTTTGTTGCTCTCTAATTCTATGTGTAGTATGTTTTCTAACTGATTACATAATTTCAAATAGTTTTATGAACATTGCTTCCCCAATAAGATTCATGTGTTCCTTCCAGAGCATCTAACTTCAAGTCAGTGTGGTAGTAGAAACTTCAAACTCAGACAGGGTTTGTGTCCCAACTTCACCATTTGCTAGCCATGTGACCTTAGACAAATTGCTCACCCTGAGGAGTCTTAGTTTCCTTATCTGTAAAACAATGAGAATAACCACTGTATAGGATGATAGGAATTAAATGAAACAGTGCATGTCAAACTCCAGCACAGTGTCTGACATAGAAGTACATACATAATGTAATAGTAAACAACCAAACCTCTATATTTACCAGAGCATTGAAATTAGTTTCTTGCTCTGCTACTTCCATCACCATAAATCTGCCCAGAATTAATTAGGTTCATTGATGTTATTTTCCCCACATTACTAAAATTTTGGTCTCTCTTATATTAGTAAGCAATATAGTTTAAGATTACCTACCTGAGGAACCAGTGCTCTCCATATCTTCTTTTCAAACTATAGGATTGCCAGTACCAATGTTATTTTTTTCTGCTTTTTTGTCTTATTTCTGTGTCTCTTCAGGAAAGTTTATCTTCTTCTCTGTTTCCCATGTAGGACAGCAGAACTGCCTTGCATTGGGCATGCTCAGCCGGACATACAGAAATTGTTGAATTCTTGTTGCAGCTTGGTGTGCCAGTGAATGATAAAGATGATGTGAGTACTAGGCAGAGTTGATAACTTCCCAGTTATCTTTAGACTCCAGACTGGTGTTTACCGAAGCCTGAGTATTAAGCTCTTAAACAAAATTGTAACCTTTACAACTAAGAGGTTACAGCATGGCCCTGGTGATCAAGAGACTAGTGGTTGCATTATTTAAAAATGTTAGTTTTGCCCCTTATACTCTGTGATTTAAGGTAAACATACAGATCAGAATCAGGGCTTACTATGGTGAACCCTAAAAGACTATAAACCCTTTTTATTATGTTGGAATTTTTTTTTTTTTTGGTGAATGTTGCCTGAATAACAAGGGCCTAGGTACCATTTTTGTTATAGAAAGAGATGTATTGTAATGGTATTGGTTTTATTAGGATCAGACTTGTGAAGAATAAGAATGGAACATGTTTTGTAGACAAAGATTCCTTTCCCTCTGTAAAGCTGTTTGTAAACCTTGCTTACATGTTAAGCATTAATCTCTGTCCCTTTTCGCCCCGGTTTTTGTACTGCCCACTTCTTTTATAGGCAGGTTGGTCTCCTCTTCATATTGCTGCTTCTGCTGGCCGGGATGAGATTGTAAAAGCCCTTCTGGGAAAAGGTGCTCAAGTGAATGCTGTCAATCAAAATGGCTGTACTCCCCTACATTATGCAGCTTCCAAAAACAGACATGAGGTATGGTTCCATCCCTAGGCTACTTCTGTTTGAGTTCTAAACCCATACACAAACACAAATAGACCTGTTTTCTTTTCTGTCTTTCCAGATTGCTGTCATGTTGCTGGAAGGTGGCGCTAATCCAGATGCTAAGGACCATTACGAGGCTACAGCAATGCACCGGGCAGCAGCCAAGGGTAACTTGAAGATGATTCATATCCTTCTGTACTACAAAGCATCCACAAACATCCAAGACACTGAGGGTAACACTCCTTTGTAAGTGACAAGTAGCAGTCATTTGTATTCTACCTGACATTAGCCCTCGTGCAATAATTCTTACATATCATTTCTTTTTTCATCCTGCTTACAAATGCAATACATATTAATGGCAAAAATTTGAAAGTACACAAAAGTATAAAGAGAAAAATTAAAATTACCTATTATCTTGCCACCCACAAATAACCACTGATAACATTTTTGTGTATTTCCTCCCAGTTTTTATATGTAAATGTGTACATTTTACACACTTATTTTTTAACAAAATTGGGATCATACTATGTATGTACTTTTATATCTTGTTCTTTTCACCTCATATTGTGAGCATTTTCTAATATCATTTAATATGTTTAAAATTTTTTACTGGTTATATACAATACCATTTTATGGATCTGCCATAATTTAATCATTCCTCTATTACTATATATTGAATTTTTTTTAGTTTTCCACTATTATAAATAATGCTAGATTGACCAATGTTGTACAAAAACCTTTGGCCACATTTCTGATTATTACCTTAGTATGGACTCCTAGAAGTTGAATTGCTGGGTCAACAAATACATGCGAAGACTATTGTTATATATTGCCAGATTGCTTCCAGAGGAGTTGTATCATTGTACCCTCCCAACAGTAGTTTAAGAGTGCCTATTACCCCCACAGCAACACTAAAATTATTCTTTTCTTATGTGAAAATTGTATTTATAGTTGTAATTTACATTTTTATTATCAGTAAATTTGAACATTTTATAATGCCTTATGGCTAATTATATTTCTTCTCTAATTGTAACTTTTTGTGTCCCTTTCTCTTTTCCTTTTGGAGAATTAATTTGTTTTTACTGGTTTTTAAGTGCTCTTGACTTGACATATTAAAAATATTAACCTTCTGCAATGTTAGCTGAAAATATTTTCCCAGTTTGTCTTTTCATTTTGTTCATGAATTTTTTAAATAACAGAAGTTTTTAATTTCTATGTAGTCAAACCTATTAATCTTCCTTCATGACTGGAAAGTTATTCCCCACCCTGAAATTAGTTAAATATTCTCCTATGTTTTATTGTAGGCTTTTTTTAAACATTTCATTGGTTTTGGTTAAGGGTTATTGTTATTGTTTTGCATTTAACTCTTAAATTCATCTGGAACTGATTTATGTG